GCGACAGAGCTTTCGGCCATATTTTCAATTCATCCGCCTGCATACATGGACATTGCAACATCATAATAATAAACAACAAACATGTACTTTCCATTGGCATCAGTATTCCGAGTAAGATTTTCGTCGCTTGTGTGGTGTGTTTCTCCACCAATGAGCGCGTACTATGATTATTTATCGCTGTTCTCACACTTTACCATTTTAGCAGCTTGCATATGCCATTGATATTATGTGGAAAGCGCGCGCTTGCGCCATTTCTGGTGTATAAGAATGATCATTCCTCCATTATCATCATTAACATCCTCTACTGATGAGCTCCGACAGGGAGCGAAACAGCTGTCTAGAGGCGTGGAGCAATATTATCTCTCAACGGAAGTGTCCTTGCTGGTGTCTGTATGGTTCGGCTGAAGAGCGCGTGCTTGTGATGAGTTGGAAATGCAATGAGGGGAAGTGAACTGCCTGAAAAGAGAAAAAAACGCCAGACCCACCAGGACTCGAACCTGAGACCCTGCTTGTCATGAGCAATGCTCTAACCACTGAGCTATGGGACCAGGCTGAACCTAGAAGGCGCTGACAAGTTTTTCACTCCAAAGGCAGCTCACAACACGTGCCACACATACTGACGGCACTTGGGACTTTTTCCCTCCCCCAGGGGACCAACCACGGTCAGTTTCTGGAAACTACCAGAGGTGAAAGAAAGTGATTAAATTTGGAAAGGATTGGGAGAACTTCAAATTCAAATGATCAGTCGGGGAAGTGAATCACTTTTAATCACTTTCTTTCACCTCTGGTAGTTTCCAGAAACTGAACGTGGTTGGTCCCCTGGGGGAGGGAAAAAGACCCAATCCAATCTGCCAATCCAGACGAGGCCGATGTAGATGTCAGTACCAAAGGCACGTCCGTTACTGGCACTGCCTGCTGCGATGATGCTCCCTTTGACGTTGCAATGGCCGTTGGTGTTGATGAAGAGGAGGAGGGAGATGAGGAAGATGCTGACGATGACGATGACGACAACGACGGAGACGATAAAGACTCTGCCAACCTCGCCCTAGAGCGAGTCACTGGTCCCGCAGACACACCATCGGGTGGTTTCTTCGGTGGCCGGCCACGCTTTTTGCCACCGGAGGTGGACACACCGGAAGACGGTACAAAGGAAGTCAAAGAAGACGAAACCGCAGATACCAACGGTGATGACGGGACAGAAGGAAGAGATGGTAAAGACGAAGGCAATGACGAACAAGCCGATGCCGACGAAGAAGACAACGGCACCCCAGTTGGTTCCGTCCCCAGCGAGGGTGCACCTCCAGTCTCAGCACCATTCTTTGGGGGACGACCTCGTCTTGGCCTTGACGACCGTGCCTCAACAGGCATAACGTGAAGAGGCACATGCTGGTGGATCCGTGCCTCCAGGTGCTGAAGGGTCCTACCCACATACCGGCTTCTAGCATTGCCGGCACTCGAAGTTGTAAATAAGATGTGATGTGAGTGTGAGATGTGAGTTTAGAGCTAATGTTGATTTGCCAGTAATCCTCTGATGAGATGGCGACGAAAACGTTTAGGAACAAGCTTCTTTATTTACATGAAAACAAGTTTTGCTAATGGTGTTTGTACTGAGTGCGCAGCTTACTCTATTTGAGCCCCAGCCTGCAGAAATCAGCATGTGTGTAATTTTTCCAAAAAATTTTTTTTTGCTCGAAAACAATTTTAGACTACTAATCAATCGAATCACAAAGTTTGGTGACAATCTGAAAAGCGAAAATAGGAAAAATTGAGTCCGAAGTAGTATTGGTCAAAAATGGCAAATTTGGCAAAATACCATAATACGCCTAGTTGACAGTGAATGATGCTCATGGCATGTCCAGGCCTTGTCTACTCCTCTGCAGGCTTCCATGGCACTTGACAATCATCTGGGATAAATTGTGCTATCTCCTTGTCAAGATACTGCAGACGCTTCGCAGAAATCCCAGCTGCTGGCACAACCGGAGGCGGATCCTTCGGGATTGATGCAAGCTCAATATTTGGCTTCAGGAGCTGGAACTCTTTCTCTTCTCCATAGCATTCAACACGGGCAAACAATGTGCCGGGAGATTCCGAGCACATTCGGAAGTGCTGGAAGCTCCGGATGCCCTTGACCGGCTGGAAATACTGTGCTAAAAAGGCATCCCATTCCCTCCATTCCCATTCATAGTTCGAAGACGAGTTGGCCTTGCATGACTTATCAATGGCCTCACAAGCTTGCTGCACTGTGTTGATGTCGCTGCTACGTATTTTTTGCTTCAGTAATCCAAAGTAGGCATCCACAGAGCAACGTGTGTGGCCCACACGCATAAAGTTGAGTTCAATTGTATCCGACATGCCACACAGCACACGCCACATCAGATAGCCAAGCACAGACTTATTTTTATTCTGGCCCACGCAGTTATCTGCATGCAGTGATAGATTCCGCTGTTCAGAGCATTCTGTTTTTAGGTGATGATCAAACATTGAAATGACAGCATTGGGGCCGTGGGCCTTAGAGCCGTCCGGGCCAATGGACTGAGCCTCATCAAACACGAAATTTGTTTGGTGTTTCTTTGCCTCTTCACAGATGCCGAAAAGTTGCACTCTAAACCGCACTTTAAAATACAGTGGCCCTACCTGCCTGCTTTGCGCTGGCAACTCAAGCTGCTGCGCGAAATCAAATGTCAGGTGGCATAGGGTATTGTCTTCACGCGCAGTGGAAATCATGTCGTTGTAGTACGCGCGTTCGTCTCGAGCAGTTTCCAAGTGCATTGCAAGTCGCTGGTTGGCCTCGGCAAACTCCTCTTCTGTCCGTGCTCTCTTAATAGATTCCCGGTGCCTTTCACAAATAGCGCATACATCCGTTCGAGGCTTCATCACCACCACATCACTTGCATGCACTTGCCATAACCTGCAGAATGACCGGTACGAAATCGGCTGTTCTGCCGTATCCAGTGACTCAACGTACGAGTCGTACACGTTCCGCTTGCGATGGGAAGCAGGTAAATAAATTGGTGCGAGTTTGGCTCTCCCTCGTGGTGCTGCAGGTTGTGGTAAACCAACAATGTTTGCGATATTTCGCACATATGCAACTGCATTCTCCACAACACTAGGATGCATTACATTGCTAGGCTGATTGCCTTTGGACTTGTGGCTTGGGAGGTCTGCACTGGCGGCTTCAGCAATGTCCTGCAGCTTGCCATAGACGTGTTGACCGATGCCATTCAGATCCATAAATACTCGCTTACACACAGTTACTCCTAGTACTGTGTGCGTGAACGAATACTCACGCTTCTTCGCGCGTGACGATGTTTCACGCAGAGCGGCTGTCAGCTGTCCCAAGACGAACAGTCGCTTTGACTTTTTAGGGATCCGTTTGAAGCTCTTCACCATGGGCAGCAGCTTTTCAGCGTCCAATTTTGCGAAGCAGTTACTGTGCTTGCATCCACAGCCGTCTTCCTGCCAGTCCCTGATCTCCGCCGCGAGCAGCCCTTCTTCTGCGTCGCCAATATCAATGTCGTCAAAATTTACGTAGGACTCGTTCAGCGGGTCGACATGCAGCTCCTCGTCGCTGTCACTGCTGCTAGAGCTCTGACTTACCTCGCCAAGATCAAGTCGTTTTGGTGAAGACTCTTCATCGCTCTCAGTCTCACTGTCGCTGGACAAACTCATCGCGAGATCGTCACCAAAGAAAGTACTATCGTGAACTTTGAGTGCCGCTTCGCACTCCTCATCAATTCCCCGTGGGACAATACTTTCACGCCGGCGTCCCTGGGACGTTGTCGCGACAGGTGTCGCCATCGCTGAGTCTAGACTCGCTCTCCGTGTGACAAGGTCTTAGCCGCGCTGTAACTCTTTGACACAACTCACTTGAAGACACTTGAAGCTTGTTGGACAAGACAAACAATCACTCGATCGAAAAGAATCGCGAAGAGCAACCTCGCTGAGCTTCCCACGCTTCTACGTCACTTTTTGATGATTGATATCAAGTACACAAGTGCTGGTTTTCGCTGGCCGGGGCTCATTTATTGCGTTGATTATTATTATTATTATTATTATTATTATTAACTGGTTTGAGGGAAAGAGACAAACGGGAAAAGTCTGAAGAAAAAATTGACTGTCACCACCAGGACTCGAACCAGGGACCCTCGCTTGTAGCCAGCGATGCTCTAACCACTGAGCTATGGTGTAGTCGTCATCCCAGCAGAGGCCATTCAACATTTTCCTCAGACTTCGTAACTCACACTTCCTGTGAATCCACACAGGCGGGTGGGACGCAGCCCACACTGTAACCCACACACTTCACGTACAAACTAGCGCGCGGGGAGCCCCAAGTCATAAAATAATAACTGGTTTGAGGGAAAGAGACAAACGGGAAAAGTCTGAAGAAAAAATTGACTGTCACGACCAGGACTCGAACCAGGGACCCTCGCTTGTAGCCAGCGATGCTCTAACCACTGAGCTATGGTGTAGTCGTCATCCCAGCAGAGGACATTCAACATTTTCCTCAGACTTCGTAATTCACACTTCCTGTGAATCCACACAGGCGGGTGGGACGCAGCCCTCACTGTAACCCACACACTTCACGTACAAACTAGCACGCGGGGAGCCCCAAGTCATAAAATATTAACTGGTTTGAGGGAAAGAGACAAACGGGAAAGTCTGAAGAAAAAATTGACTGTCACGACCAGGACTCGAACCAGGGACCATTTATTACTATTAGGAAATTAGAGGCCACATGCCACCTACTGCTCTTTTCTCTCCGAAACTCAACACTTGCAAGCCAGATATGAAAGAAAGAAAAAATCCTCAGTCACACCACCGGGACTCGAATCAACAGGGCCCTCGGCCATTCGCTCATATCTGGCTTGCAAGTGTTGAGTTTCGGAGAGAAAAGGGCAGTACGTGCCATGTGGCCTCTAATTTCCTAACACTTTGTAAAATTCTCCGTGAAGTCCAAATTTCAAATTGCAATTATTATTATTATTATTAATAAGACTTACCAGCTGGACAACGATCGCACTCGTAGACGTTCTTGGAGCGTATGACCGCTTCGGTAGGACATGGTAATGCCCCCGGGGAGCAGGTCTTGACAGCTCTGAGCTCACACATCACAGTTCCGTTCAAGCAGCTACAATTATGGTAGGCGGATACCGTCCATGTATCACCATTGGCATACTGCTGCCCCCGGAAATCACATCCTAGCACATGGGAAAGAAACACCATAATGCCGTCACAAGTTCCCAATCACGCAGACAATAATGCATTGGCTCAAGCTGCACCAGGAGACAAAGGGCTTTTTCTACTTTAGCAGCATTCAGGAACGCCTTGCGTTACCATTAGTTACCAGTAGACCACAGTTTTAGTCCACATTTGCTTCTTGCTTCTTTTCCTTTCATTTTTGATTTCTTACTCTTTTCCTTGTGAGACGTGGGTGGCTATAAAAACCCTGCAGTCGCCACGCAAAGTGGTCATTGGCTACCCCAGCCGTGTATGGCTTGGAATACAACCAATAAAATAAATAAATAAATAAAGGAGAGAGCTTGGAAGCTCAGGGCCCTACGCTATACTTTTTTGCCTTGATGACCTAGACAAAAAAAAAGCATAGGGATGTTATAAATTCTTTAAAAAATTCCTTTTTTTAAGACATAACCTGGGATTCGAACCCGCACTATCGCGCCCTGCATGCACCCCCGATACACTTCGCATACATACTAATTCTTCCAAGTTGCTTCACATTATGATCTTGCATTTGAAAGCCCTATTTGAATATGCATTGTGGCCAGCCGTCTTTGATGGTACGGTACGGTAGGGATAGGTACGGGACAGGTACGATCGAGGGTAATACGACACCGTCTCCCGTACCGTACCATCTAACACAGCTGGCCACATACAGCTGCCCGCAATATTCAAATAGGGCTTTCAAACGCAAGATCATAACGTGAAGCAACTTGGAAGAATGGGTATGAATGCGAAGTGTATGGGGGAATGCATGTAGGGCGATAGTGTGGATTCGAATCCCAGGATATGCCTGAAAAAAAAATAGGAGAATTGAAAAATTTATAACATCCCTATGATTTTTTGCCGTCAGATACGGGATAGCGCCAGGCGTGACACAAACAAACAAACAAACACACACACACAAATACCAAATTAAAGCTGTGTGGACCCTGGCTAGCGCCAGACATTACTGAAGTAACATCTTCTGCATAGCTACGGGAATAAAACCTGCATGTACAACCAGACTACTTCATTACAATTCCATAATTATGGTATCTTTACTTCGCAAGTCATCTTTGCTGCAAACATCTCATGATTATTTCTCTCATTCACATGTTCTCCATGTATACAAAGTATATCACGATAAACATGATTTTTGTCGGCCAACAATCAGGCTTTCTACCTTCTGCTTGGTTTATTTACCTGAAATCGGTCGGCACACGCACTCGCATGGATTGTTCTCGTCAAGGGCTGGCTCGAATCCCTCTTCGCACCCGCCTGTACAACTCGGTTGCATCAGCCTGCAGACCGCGGAGGTTGCCTGGCAGTGACAGATCATACACTGACCGGATCTAGTGTCCCGATACCATTCGCCGATTGAGCGTGGTTGAAGATCGGAGTCTATGCAACGTGTTTTTGTACCTGCAAAAACAACATTAAATGCATTAATTTTGAAAACAGATCTGGGTAGTCTCTGTATTATAAATATTATTATTACCAAATATTTGATAGGGCAATCACACAGGCCTAAACCCTCCTTACAGAGTATACATAAAGAATAAATATATATATTTCACGGTTCGCGTGAGACTCGGCCAAAGGCCCAGTTTTCCACATCCGCAGGAACGCCACCACCCTCTTGGATCAAGACGCAGATGCATAAATAAGACAGGTGTAGGACCACGTTTCCGCTTTCGTGGGACGCCACCGTCCCATATCCATGATCAGGTGTCAGATGTTAATCCTTAACGGTGGGGAGGATAGATCAGATCCACCAACCAGTGGCCAAACGCCGAAATCCCAATTGCCGCACCCATGGGCAAATCTGTCTGGGGTTTGGAAAATGAGTTTATTGACCTGAATGGTGATATGAAACAGACTCTCATTATTTAGGAACACAGCCCCATTAGTTATAAAGTGCACCTCGAGTATGGCAACCTGGCTTAAGAGAACCGGGCGTGTAAGAACCATGTGTATAAACAACCTGGCGTGTACCGACCACAAGTGTAACAAGTAAAAACCACACGTCCAACAAACATGTGTCTTAGAGGTGATTTACACGGCGCCAGGATTTATCCCTGCGTGATGCGGCCATGGAGATTCAGTCACATGTACTCATATTGTAGCGCAAACGTATCCCGCTGGCTATCCCGGTACTGTCCCGGTGCCGTGATGGGTCGGGGGGGGGGGGGGGGGAGTAGAAATGCGTACCGTGGTATTTTGTGGACAGTTTTGTACTACGGGTACTGTACGTGCATCCTGCCGTGTGAATCTATTTTCGTTTTCCCGTACCACGGCCAGCTCTCGGGATCACGTGCTTCTCTTTCCGGCAGTATGCACTGCTGTCGTGTATATCGAGTGTAAAAAATAAAAATAAAAAGTAGATCTAAAAACCTAGGTAGAGTATCGCAACACTTCAAAAACCTTACTAGGTGCCGTAGGATAGCAGGCTTGGCAGCCGCAAGGATCGAGTGCGTCGAGGTCGTTGTGTTCGCCATCCGCACACTGCGCGGCGCAGGTGGGCGTATGATCTCGGCACTCCTTGACGCCATCCACACACTGGCAACGCTCGCATTTCAATGCAGTATGGCTGGCCTGCATATAGGTGCTGCCTGGAGCATGCAATACTCCCATGTGGTCCGTGCAATTCGGCTCAGGACCTGAAGGGTGTTGAGTTCAAACACACACATAAACACACACACACATGAACGAACAGAAATACACATGACCGAGTACACACACACATAATGTTATCCACGCGAACGAGCACACCCACACCCACACCCCCCCCCCCCCCCCCCCCCCACATACACACCCACACACCCAGATATCCACACCCACACACCCACACACACCCATAGCTACACACACACGCACCACGCTCGCACATGCGTGCACACACACACACACAATCATACTCATATTCATACTCCTGTCCATCGCTGAAGCGATGGTAGCGAACAAGCTACGTGAATGTTAGACATATCAACTTGTGCTGGGATGACACCATTCAACAGCTTGCAAGACCGATGAATTGACTGCCACCAATTTGTCTGGTCTACACCACGCAGTTGAAGTGGCTTTTGCTGGCCAGTGGATCCCTATTTTTCATACATATGCACGAACAAACTACCCGAAATGGAACGAAATGGAAACGAACTTTCAAGTGTTTTGAAACGTTTTCAAAAAGTTTTCCTTCTCATGTAAACAGTGAAATCGATTGGAAATGGAGCCCCGTCATCGAAACCATTCCGAGCGGGAATATGTCGTACTGTAAATATTCAAACTAAGTGCACAAAGAGCGTCCATGAGCTGGCGAGCATTTGCCAACTCCAACTAGCGCGTGGGCAGCACGTCCCATCTCAGGCCTCATCGAACGTTTTCCGGTTCTGTGTAAACAGTTGAAAACTATTTTCCGCTCTCGTGTAAATGGTTTGGAAACGATTCGAGGGCAGTGCGTTTTGGTTCCGTTTCGTTTCTTCTCAATGTAAACGCAGCCTTAGAGATCCGGGTTTCTGATTAAAAAAATTGTTCTGTCCATGCAAAATTCTGATTGGCACGGAAAAAAAACTTGAGTGAAAACAGTCCTAAATATGGGTTGCGACTTCGGCGATGATTTGTTTGAAAAGGGTTTGCTCCCCACAATGGAGCTAGAGCTATTCCGCCGACTTGACTTTACACACGACTGACTCACGACTGCCATCCAGAGCACACGAGAAGTCCATCGAACCTAAAAAAAACATAAAAACTAATCCTGTAGAACGGGCAATTTTAGCGACGTAAAAACCCTAGCGAATTTAGCGATCGACACATTTTCGCTTAAGTTTCAAGTCGCTAATCTGTTGAGACCTTATACTAGTACTACTAATAATTATATAATTATTATTAGTAGTAGTGCACTGTTGATCCGTGAGTACAATACAGTACTACATCATAGTACACTGATGATGTCGTAGTAGTAGTAGTAGTAGTAGTAGTAGTAGATCTACTCCCGGTACAATCACAGTCTACACTAGACACATGTATTGTTTTGAGATGTTCTCTCGTACTAGCACTCATAGTACACTCATAGTACACTCATAGTACACTCATAGTACACGCATAGTACACTCTTGCTAGCACTCATAGTACACTCATGGTACACTCTTAGTACACTCATAGTACACACATAGTACACTCATAGTACACTCATAGCACACTCATAGTACACTCATAGTACATTGTAGTGATGGTTTGTACATACAGTAGTAGAATGCAGTATCAAAATGTGTACAATGAAGGAAAATGCAAATCGCTAAAATAAAACGTCGCTAACAGGTTGACAATGGGAAAATGCTAAAATTAATAGTCGCTAGAATTACCCGTTCTACAGTAGCGCTAGCTCCAGTGTGGGGAGCATACCGTTTTCAAAGAAAACAGTTCTTCCGGTAAAATCCTTATATTATCCCCGGCGCTAAAATTAGCAATTTTGCAGTAAATATTTGTAACGTCCCTGGGGAAGGGATGCAAAGTGAAAATCAAATGCCATACAGCACAAATATCTCACCCTGAATGACCTCGCAGGTGCGGCATTGACACGGATTCTCACTGTCAATGACAGAGCGATAGCCGGGCTCGCACACTTCTGCACAATCGGGCGGTAAGTCGGTGCACAGTGCTTGCCCGTTCCTACACTGACACAGCACACACTGATCATGCCGCTGCTCAGCGTACGTCTCCGTGTGATTGTACGTGACACGCTCAGGCTCCTGCAAGACTTCAGATCACTGGGATTATCTGCTTA